TTATGTAAAAGGTTGTGTTTTTGTATGCCAGGATTTTGAGGTGCCAACCACAGTATCCTGATGATGTCGCAACTAAACATGGTCTCTAGAAACTTTATTATGGAAAAATTCGAGTTTGTAAAACATATTTGTATCTTATGAGACATGTCCGTTACTTAATTTTCCCGATTTACTTATTTTTTATCTGTCCACTTTTGTGACGAGCATAAACGAGACTTGGTTTTGCACGTCTTTGGTAAGCTGCGTTAGAGGCTTGTACAAGAAATCCGTCTCTTTTTAAATGTATTTGCCGAGATAACTGAGACGGGCATTAATAGTCCCTATTAATTGTTACCTGAGACGGGTAGCGCTCAGCAGCCGTCGCAAAAATTCGATACATTGGAGACGGCTTGCTTATAACCCGTCGCAATCTTCTACAGATCAGAGACGGCGTTTTCCGAACCGTCTCATTTTATACTAGTCCGTGACGGGTGGTGATTTACCGGCCGTCACAATTTTTCTTAACGGAGACGGTTTACGGTAAACAGCCGTATGTGTCGTGAATTATTTCAGACGGTTAAATTGTTAGGAGCCGTCTCATTTTATGATGATCAGAGACGGTCATGGTCATCTCAGCCATCGAATTATTTACTTATCGGAGATGGTTTTTGGTAAAAAAATGTCTGTTTTGAGATTATGTGAGACGGTTAGCCACTAAGGAGCCGTCGGTATTTGTTACGTATCCGGGATGGTTTTGGTTTCAACCGTCTATTTTCCGATCTTATCTGAGACGGTCCGGTACCCGTCACTAGTACTGGCCACATCACAGACGAATATTTCCAGACGCTTGAATTAACCGTCACTAATTGATATCGCGAGCCGTCTCAAATTAGCTTCTCTGGCGTAGTGTAAGATAAATACTACTAATATCTTTTTATATAAATTTAATCAATCTTTGAAACATTTGAGTTGACACTATTTTAACATTGTAGGGTTTTTTTTAAGGACGGAGGGAGTACTAAGCATGCACCGGGCAGCGGCCACCAGTAGCAGGTTACTTAATTTTGCAATGAAATGAACACCCATGTGCTCTCGGCTCTTCATTTGGTTGGATGTTATATTCTTGAGAGGCAGATGTCATATCATCCTGCACGTTTTATGTATACAGAAAGCATCTTATGATTGGCACCAATGCAACCAGCGCAACCTGGTAGCAGTAGTATCTGAGAAATCTAGGTGTGTGTGTGTGTGACAACGATGCATGATGATACTGATATCCATCGTATACTCGTACGTGCCCCCTAGCTGCTTCCCGCCCTTATCGTTATCGTTATGGGCGGTCATCAGCCGCCGGCGGGTCAGAAACCGTTGACATGCATACAAGCGGTAATCCGTGGCGCCGACGGCTGCATCCACGGTATTCAGAAAGTTATGTGAGAACGATTCAAACAGCCACGCGGATGCAGGGATAAAAAATGACCGTCCCCATTCTAACATTTTGCTTTCTATATATAGTTTTGATATGAACGGAATCACCTAGTTAGAATTATAATACTAGATTTCACCCTTTTTCTACCGAGCTTATCCACACAATCCGGTTTTAGAGTCAGCTTTAGTACAATTTGAGAGTCAGTTCACCCTTAAAAAAAACAATTTGAGAGTCTGCAAAGATGATCCTGCCTGCAGGTAGCAAGATCCTAAATAAAAATCATTTGATTTCGCAGGTAGACTTATTTACACTGAGGCCTTGTTTAGTTTCTCCTCCTAAAATTTAGTCCATATCCCATCGGATGTTTGCACACATACATGGAGTATTAAATATAGACTAAAAAATAACTAATTACATAGATTGGGACTAATTTGTGAGACAAATTTCTTAAGCCTAATTAGCCCATGATTTGACAATGTGGTGCTGTAGTAAAACTATAGTAAACACGTGCTAATGACGTCTTAGTTAGGCTTAATAAATTCATCTCACGGAGTACCGAGGACTTCTGTAATTTGTTTTATTATTACTATCCGAACATGCTCATATAACACCCCGACGTGACACTCGATGTGATATCCTTAAACTTTAGCCCTTGAATTTAAACGAGGCATAAATCCCTAAACCAACTAGATGTAAAACTACGAAAAGAGAGAGATCTTCTCTCCTTGCCACCGACAGACTTACGACAGAGAAAGAAGAGGAGCTCTGGATGGCAGCAGAGGAGCAAGGGCAGTTTTCGACTGTTGGAGCGGCCATTCTCTATCTTTGACCTGACCCTGAGAAAACCAACACTGGATGTAAAACTATTACCATTCATCATTTTCTACTAATGTCTAATGTACTGATTTATTTGTCATCGATGGTTATTCTGATTTTATTTACCCGTTCTCACCCGCTGTGGGCACAATTTCAGCTCGTATTATTTCGCATACTCTGTATTCATTCTCATTGTCGCTTTTCCCGTTTTGCTGCCCTTTTTCGAATCATAAAATGTGAAAATGTAAATGATTAAGGCCTTCTCTCCCCACACACATTTGTATGTGAGAGAGAAAGTAGATAACTTAAAATGGCGACAACGTTGTTGGGCCAGGCGAAACTGTGATGTCTGGAATTCAAGGGCCTTTTGCTCCTTTGGAATTTGGATTGGCCAGGCAGGCTCCCAACGGTCCCAAGGTACAATTTGGTAAGGGGCCCTAGCTGCCGACCAGGGTTGCAGGAAAGCCCCCGCCGACCCTTCCTCCCCTATAATTATTAATTTTTCGAAATTAGGCCGTTCCTCTTGTATTTGGGACGCATTTTTGTTCAGGCTCGCGCGCCACCGCAGCCAAGTCAACAGCCATGCAGTAGATTCCAAAGGAGCTGACGTCGGTAAATATCCCATGCTTTTTAAAGTAAAAAAGTCATAACTCCTAAACCAAGTATCATAATTAAAATCTGATTGCACCATCATGTTCCTTGTAATAAACTCTTCAAAACAAGACCTCACATGGATATATTTCGATAAATTTTTTACGAACATTTATCTCACGATGAACTGTATTTAAAGATAATCGTCGAACATCACATTAACACTACACGGATATCACAAAAAAAAGTATAGAACATCATATGTATACTACGGAACATCACATGTATCATGAAATTAAAAAATTAAATTAGTGAAGTAATTAATTATAGTCAAATAAAAAGAAGAAAAAATGCTACCGAACATCACAAATACATCGTAGAACATTACATTAACACTACACGAACATCACAAAAAGATAACATAGAATATCATATATATACTACATGAACATCATAAATACATCGTAGAACATCGCATTAAGACCACACAAACATCGCTAAATATAGCATAGAACATCATATGTATACTACTGCGAACATCACAAATACATCGTAGAACATCACATTAAGACTACACGAACATAGCTAAATATAGCATAGAACATCATATGTATACTACGTGAAAATCACAAATATCATAATTAGAGTCAGATAAAAAGAAGAAAAATGCTACCGAATATTAAAAAAATTGTCCTAGAACATTCGATGTATGCTTACTGAACATCACAAAATACATCGTAGAACATCGCATTTATACTCGCGGACATCAAAAAATACATCATAAAATATTACATGTACACTATATGAACATCACGTGTATCTGTGAAAAAAGTAAAACATAAAATTATACACAGAAGAAAAGAAACAAAAATAAAAAAAGAATAAAATACGAAAATAGAAAATGAAAGAAACAAAATCATTAATTCTATCAAAAAAAGAAACTAAAATTGTATAAATGTTAAAAACATAAAAATACAAAAAAACAAAAAGAAAGAAAAATAAAAAAAACTAAATAGAAACAAGGAAAGGAAAGAAAAAAGAACAATAAAAAATAAATAAAAATAAAAAGGAAATAAATGAATGAAAGGAAACAAAAAAGAAAAGGAAACAAAAAGAAAAAGAAAAGGAAACAAAAATAAAAAGAAAGCATAAAACAGGAAAGGAAATGTACTGACTAGAACTCCAGTTCAGTTTAGATGCAAATTTTTTTGCAAAATGAGCACTATAGTATTTTCGTTGTTATTTGACAATTAATGTCCAATCATAGTCTAATTAGGCTTAAAAGATTCGTCTCGTGGATTTCGTCTAAACTGTGTAATTATTTTATTTTTTATTTATATTTAATGATTTAATGCATACGTCTAAAAATTCGATGTGACGAAAAATCTTAGAAAATTTGGCAAAACAAAGTGGAACTAAACAGGGCCTCAAGTCCTAACGCACGTGGACCTGGAGCTCCAGTCCTGCCGCACGCGCCTCCGCTCGCTGCTGGCATGGGCCACTCCCTTTGCTGCTCCAGTCGCGCGCGTGGGCCGCTCAAGAAGAAAAGCAGCCCAATAACAGATTCGCAGCGCGGAGGGAAGGGGGGTCGGCAGCCGGCTGCTGTCCGACTGGTTGGCAGCGACGGGTTCCGAAAGAGCAATAGCAGGGAGAATCACATTCGGCCTGCTAGGCTAACGGGCCTAAAAAGGTATTTCTGGCCTTCCACGAACGGCCCGGCCCATGTATATATGTTGGCTTCTCTCAATTGGCCAGGGATATTCAACAAAGCTGTTTTAAACCGCTGATGGATGTGAGAGTGTTGTTAGTTCTGAAAATGCTGCCAGATTGAGATTGGCTTGCATTTTTTTTTAATTTTCAGATACTTCATGTACAATGTGTCTCCTTGGGTTGGAATTTGGATGAACAGCCGTTGACTCCCTTGCATTGCAATTGATGATTGCGTAAATTTCTAGTACTATCTTGCAACTATCTCCTCCATTAAGAGGATCGAGGCGACAGATGTATGGAATTCAGTTCAGGCATGATTCATGACGACAGATACAACAATTGCATGCATGGTGACCTATCTAGCTAGCCAATCAGCAATGCCATCAATTAATTCCACATGCATACGGAGGGTCAGCAGGTTGATCAAGTTGCATTGCTTGATGAGCATCCCTCCGGCCCCTGTTAATAACCTGAATCATCTCGTCGTCGTCGTCCGCTGCTGCTTGGACGAATCGTGATCGGACGTCTTAGCTTGCTGCACGACGACCACGTCGACGGTGGCGCCGTGCGTGCCGTCATCATCGTCGTCGTCGTCGTCGGTAGTGACGACGGGCAGGGGCAGCTCGCTGACCTTGGTGGTGACCTCGTTGTCCGCCTCGCGGCCCTTCCCCCAGAGCACGGCGTAGAGGCCCACGACGATGAGCACGGCGCCGAGCGCGCTGCCGAGGTAGAGCTTCTCGCCCAGCAGCAGCGAGCTGAGCACTGCCACCACGAGCAGCATGAGCGGGTTGAAGACGGACGCGAAGAGCGGTCCCCGCTTCTTGACGCACCAGGAGAGCACGACGAGCATGACCCCCGAGGCGAGGACGCCCGAGTAGGCGACGGAGAGGAGGCGGACGTCGAGGCCGAGGCGCCACTGCGCGACGTCGCGGTGGGTCCAGAGCGCGAAGGCGACGGACTGCAGCGTGCTCATGACGCACATGAGCGCCGTGCTGGAGTAGTGGAACGGGTAGTCCTTGCTGAGCTTGGCCTGCAGGATGAGCCAGAGCGCGTAGAAGACGCAGCTGCTGATGCAGAGCAGCGAGCCCATGACGCGGTTGGCGTCGGCCTCCAGGACCGGCGGCTGGTGGTGCGCGGCGGCGGAGGCGCCGGAGGAGGTGACGAGGTTGACGTGGCTGTTCCAGGGTGTGATGTCGGCGCCCTTGTAGAAGGTGAGCAGCATGGCGCCGGCGACGCCCAGCAGGGTGCCGGCCACCTTGGCCTGCCCCGAGGAGGCGCGGATGGCGAGGTGCTCGTAGCGGAAGATGAGCGCCAGCACGAAGGTGACCCCCGGGATGAGGTTGGTGGTGGCGGAGGCGAAGGTGGCCGAGGTCAGCTTCATGCCGGAGATGTACAGGTTCTGCGCCAGCGAGCCCCTGCGTACGTACATGCACATCCATCAGCTACCAGCATCGATCTCAGCATGCATTTCCGTTACATGCTGTTCTGTTGTATTCATGCGCAGTACTCCGTACGTACGGTGTTGGTAGCGACATGACACGTCGACGCCGCCCGCCTGGCAGGTATATTGCAAGGCGGCCGGCGGACACGTATGTACGTGTACGTGTACATATATACACTAAGTAAAGTTAGCATGCAAGGCCGGCGTCTAGAGATGTGCAACCTGGAATCGATCTCTCATCAATCATATATGGCTTGTTCGGCTTCTTTTTTCAATCGAAATAGTGTTTTTCTCTCATAACAATTCAGCCAGAACAGTGTTTTTCAACTAGTTTCAGCTAAAATTCTGCTAGCGGAACGGGACCATATATGCCTGCACAAACTAGCTAGGTACAGTACATGGATCCTGTGGTGTACTATGCAAGCAAGCTTTATTTTATTTCCTTCTCCGGCCCTGGATGCCAACCAAAAAGTGTGTGTAACAATATTTATAGTATATAAAAGTCAAGATGATATATATACTTGTATATATTATTACATACAGGTGTGATGTGGGTGCGCTGCCGAATTGCTTGGATGCGTGGAGGACGACGACATGTGTGGTCAGCGTCGGCCTAGTTATATTAGTTAGTAGCATCACGTGCAAAAGCTAGCTGTTTTCGCTGCATGCTGCACCCGCCCGGCATCTATCTATCTATCTATCGCGCACGTACCTGAATTCCGGCACGCAATATGCTTGTTTGTCCATGCATGTTCCTGTGGCCAAACTAATTGAACTACCGCACTAGCTATCTAGTGCTACTCATCAACAAAGAAACAAAAGCGATGAAATACATGCATATATATAACATCTATATACTAATGTAGCATACAGACTCGATCGATCAGTATGCTATATATCCCTACATGCATACTTATCACTGCATGCACTTTGAGCTAGTCAATGGGAAATTTAAACAAACATTTCACAAGATCACACCACTCATGCATATGTGTATGGGTTATGCAATTAGTTAATTAATTCATGCTGATGAGCTATCCATATATAAGCTACAATGACATGCATGCATGTTTTAGTTTGTGGGATACACTTGGGTTGGGAATGTTTTTTTTAATAGACTGATATATATATATATATATATATATATATATATATATATATATATATATAATAAAATAGAATAAGGTACTCACCCGGTGAGGCCACATATGAAAGATATCACCAACACTCTCCACGTCAACTTTGTCCGTCTCTTCCTGAAACATCGAAATTTCCATACATACAAAAGCTAGAATTATATCTCAAGCCACCAATTATTCACTGATCACTAGCTTGTCTGAAGTTGGTAATATGATTTTAGGCCCATCATCAGCAGAAAATCAGCTGCGATCAATCTTTCAAGAGTAGTAGCTAGCAGCATGCATGGGGCATCTATCGTCTAGTACCAGCGAAGCAGAAGCTAGTGCATGATAAGAATACAAGTGATATCTTCTGTTCTGGAATAGGAAGCGAGCGAGAGTGGAGAAAAGAAAAGGAAAACGAAAAGAAAAATGGACGGCTGCTGGCACTACTACCAAGTTCCTTTTTCCTTTTGCCCTTTAATTTGCCGGCGGCGACGATGCAGAAAAAGACGAATTGAACAAGGATCATCGGACGCCATGGCTGATGGCAAGCGCTGCTAGATGAAGTCTGAAGTCTGAAGAGATGAAACGACGACGAGGTAGCTAGGCATGGATTGGAATTGGATCGGATGGGTATGCACGCAAGCAGATAGAGACGCAGGTAGCAGCCTAACCACGAACCTCTCGATGAAGTAGGCGAGGGGCGCGAGGAAGGCGGAGGCGAAGAGGTAGCGGTAGGCGACGAGCACCCTCATGTCCATGCCGTCCGACACCGCCAGCTTGTAGAATATGTTGACGCCCGCAGACATCACCTGGATCACCACCATCGCCGCCACCGGCTTGGCCACATCGCATCCGCCGCCGCCGCCGGTGCAGGTGCCGGCTCCGCCGCCACCCATGTTGGGCGGGAGCGCGGTGCAGTGGGCGACGCGACGGGACGATGGGGGTACGGTGTATGTAATGGATGGCTATGCACTATGCAGGGGAGGGGAGGGGAATGGAGCTTTGTTGGCGAGCGGCGCGGCGTATATATAGGCCATAGGCAAGGCGAGCAGAGACAGAGACGAGACGACAGAGGAAGGGAGGAGGTGAGAGAGACAGAGACGGTGCATGCGTCAGCAAATGGCCTACTCCGACGTCGAAGTACGTACTTGGAGAAATTAAATTTGGAAACTACTGCAAAGCATGCACGCGCTACCAGTTTTTTTAGTTTACTGCCCGGCCAGCCGTCGGAAGGAAGGATATGGACAGGGATAGTGAGTGGCCTCGACTGACCGTATGGTAAGGTGGTGGGTTCGGCGGCCGGCTGGGAGCTTTTTTCTTTTTGGAAATTTTGCAAGGAACATTGACAAACGTAGCATTTGTCGATGAACACCGTAAACTCAGAAATTCGCCCAATATTATATTATTAAGAAAACGTATATCGCTACTGTAACACATCACACCGATTACTTTAATAAATTTCTCGTACTCGTATAGAGAGAACATGGAAGAAATTATTTTTTCTCTTGTCTTCAACCTCCGTCTTCGCCAGTTCAGAGCTCAACCTCCGACCTCTTTGTCCTCGCGCTGCTGGCCCACCTCACCGTGGGCTAACTTAGTCCTTTCCACCGTCCGTGGCTGGCCCTTCCCTACCCCCGCCACGTTGCTAGCCCGCACCCTCCTTCTTTCTTTCCCTTCGTGGCGGCAGTGAAACAAGCTCCGGCGTATGCTTTTTCCGTAGGCTACAAGTGTGTTTATTTAGATGTTGCATATATTCCACACGTATGTTGCAAGTATTTTTATTTGGATATTGCGTATGTTTTACAATGGTTTTTCGTGTGTTTTCGAGTGTTTTTGTAAGTGTTTCAGACGCATGTTTCAAATGTTTCATCTTCTTCAGACGTATGTTGCAAGTATTGCATTTGGATGTTTCAAAAGTAGATCGGGTATTGTACATGTTGCAATGACGTCGGTACCTGGCGGACAACGGCCAGCCGTAAGGGCTTTGGCTCCTACCTCATGCGGGCACCTCGCCCTCTCCTCTCCTCTCCCTCCCCTTCCTTCCCTTTCATCCATCTCACCTCGACGTTGGTGTTGGAGTGGGGGTCGTCGAGTTTGCTGCGTTCAGACGCAGGAGCTGGCGTGGATGGGATGCGGGGCCCAGGGGGCGTGGGATGGGATGCGATGTGGGTGCAAGGGGGTGTGGGATGCGATGTGGGAGCAGGTGCGGGAGCAGCGTTCGGACGAGTCCTACGAGCTACGGCCGGACGTCGTGGCGCTATCCCTTCCGCTTAATTTTCCACCCCGTTTTGGCTTTTTCACATGCACAAAGTGCATGCATGTGGTACATTTAACAGTACATCCATTCATCGCCACTAAAATTATTTGGAATTAATCTAGTCAAGATTTTCTCTCTGTTGCACTTTAATTTGGACCTCTAGTGTTGGCGCATGCATGGAACAAGTTTGTATCTGTATGTAAAGAGCTACTTAGTTCTTGCAGATATAAATTTTTTATTGTGAGCCGAATGAATTTTATCTAGCTAGATCCACACATGTGCGCGACCTACAACACTTTGACATGGTCCAGCAAAGAGTGTGTTTGGAGGGGCTTTGGCCGGCTCTTGCTCTGGCACTATTGTGCTACTGTGGTGGAGCCGCCGGAGCCTCTCAAGTGTGGCTCCTCCAGCTCTCTCGATGAGTGATGACTGAAGGAGCCGGAGCCCCTGCAGAGATGTGTATAGAACAACACAGTTCCGCACAGAGAGGAGGAGCCGGAGCCTGTCGGACGGGAGCCGTGCCAAAGACGGCCAAAGTATATATAGGCATAGATACAAAGACATAGGGAAGCAAATACAATCATATATAGGGTCAAAACATACTGTTTTCCAACACGCCTATGGTTTTCTCAAAAAAAAGGGAGAAACCACAGGTGCAACATCAATTTAAATTAAATTTAACTCAGTGGAGAACCTTGTAGCCCACAGCCCATCAATGCCAATCACAATGCCAAAAAGTTTATGAAATAATCTAGTTTGGCAATTGGCATAAACTTCGGGATGATCTTTGCACTCTCTTTGGTTCTTCCATCTAATTCATGTAAAAAGCTTATTATTTTATTTCCCATTTGTTTATGCAAAAAATTGATAAAAAAATCTTATAATTATCATTACCCCTATGACATTTTCTTAAGGTAACCTTCATCTTCGAGCCACTGCTACATCAACCAAGGGTGTAGAGAACAATTTTATCCATTTAAAGTAAATGTTTTTTTGTCGGATAATGCTCTTTAAATGTGTGTACTAGAGGAACCTAATCTAGCTTATTTGGCTGAGGATGTAAATCTACGCGTAGACCATGTCTAGGTGATTATTTTTCTTTCAATATATATATACTAAGGGCCTGTTTGGAACACAAAAAAATTTCTTGTTCCTCCGTTTTTTGTGTAAAATTAAACTAATTATGTAGAATTATATAGTTCCTCATGGGTTCTAGTTTTTTTTTTAAAAAAGAGGCACGCGCTAGAAATCGAACCCTGATAAAGTGCTTTCGGGTTTAACTTTATTAATCTATACTTTAGCATAATAAATTGATTGTTGTGATATTCCTGCGGTCCAAATGCCCTAATAATGATAGCTCTGCCCCTAATTTACACTACTACAACAATTTTAACCGAGGCGGGTTTTTTCCAACCGCCTCCGCCGAAAGGTCAGGGTTAATCAAACCTTAACGGAGGCGGTTGCTTTGTCCGCCTCGGTTAATCGATTAAAAAAACAAAAAAATCCATGAGCCCACCGGTGAGCTCATTCCCGAGCCCCCCGACGAGCCCGTTCTTCCGAGCCCACCAGCTGGAACCGCCGGGAGGAGCCGCCGCCGCGTTGCTCGCCGTGGAGCCCGCCGCCGCCGCGTTACTTGCCGCCGGAGGGCTTCTCCCCTCCAGATCCGCGGATCCGTGCGTGGTGGAGCCATGGAGGTAGGGGAAGAGGCCGGGGCGTGGGCCGGATCCGCCGCCGCCGGGCTTCAACCCGATGGATCCGTCGCCGGAGGCCTCCTCCCCATCTAGATCCGCGCCGTGGTGGAGCCGTGGAGGGAGGGGAGGAGGGAGGGAGGCGAGGAGGCCAGGCGTGGCCGGATCCGTCGCCGGTAGGGTCCATCCCGCTAGATCTGCCGCCAGAGGCTTTCTCCCGCTGGATCCGCACCGTGGTGGAGCCATGGAGGAGGGAGGGGAGGAGGGAGGGAGGGGGGGGCGCAGGCCGGATCCACTGCCAGAAGCTTCCTCCCCACCGGATCCATGCCGTGGTGGAGCCATGGAGGGAAGGGGGGAGGGAGGGAGGGAGGGGCGCAGGCCGGATCTGCCGCCGGAGGCCTCCTCCCCGCCGGATCCGCGCCGTGGTGGAGCCATGGAGGGAGGGGAGGAGGAGGAGGGAGGAAGGGGAGGATCCATGGAGGGAGGGGAGGAGCCCAGCACCGCTAGAGAGGGAGGAGTGAGGGAGGGGAGGAGCCCGGCACCGCTGGTCTTGGGAGAAAGACAGAGTGACTAGAGAGACAGAATGAGTGCGGCTAGGAGTGGGAGGGGCGCAACTGGGAACCCTAACTCCTGCTTATATACGAGCCGGTAGTAGGATAGATATGGGCCTTTTCTAGGCGGTGAGTTGGGCAACTATTTTGGGAGGCCGCCTTGGAAAATGCATTTGTGGAGGCGGGCTCCTTAAAATGCCCAACTCGGTTAATAGGCATTAACCGAGGCGGTTTCATTACAACGCCCGCCTCGGTTAAGCATTAACCGAGGTTATTGCTGGTCCGACTGTCCTACCTCAAATAGCCGAGACGGACAACTAGGCCAACCGCCTCGGAGCCTCAAAGTGAAGCGCTATGCAAAAAAAATTATGTAGTAGTGTTAACTATAGACCACCCACAAAATTGCTAGTCCTTTTGTACTTTGCTAGCTAGGGCACCCATTTCACCTTCCACATACCTTGCACATGCATTCATTTCTGTATATATTGATGTCTTTCCATTCCGATCGCATAAGTAGGCCCAGGTATTTGAATCATATGAAATGAGAGAGAAAAGACGTAACAAGCTTGTGACATGAGTCTGCGACAGACAGCGATATATCATGTCTGCCTCAATCGCGATTTTCTCGCATCAGCGATATTTTTTAGGTTCCAACTATAGTCATGCACGGGCTACTCGCATCTGCTGTACCTGACGAAGGCTTTCACGGCCAGAACTTTTTCCACAGGGCTGGCTGCTTTATATACATACTAAAATCATAATATAGAAGCAGACAGTTATACTTTCAAAGACTGAGACACCTCGCTGTCCATCAGCACATTATCGACCACGCTAAAAGTTCAACGCCATCTATCCCAATAAACACATCTACTAAAAGAACAAAAAATATAAGTACCCATATTAGGTTAGGAACTTGAACCCAGGTGAATAAATTAAAGAAAACCAACTAACCGAGCTCCCTTAGATCACTACTTCATTAATATATATATATATATATATATATATATATATATATATATATATATATATATATATATATATATGTATGTAGAATGATGTGAGCTATCATGCAAGCTTTGAGAGGGCCATTATGGAATACGGGCACCTGTCAGCTTAAGGAAACAAACACCAATTTGTAGTGGAAACATTTCATCATGATAAAGTGAAAAAAGTTGCGCATGCAAAGAACAGACATATACCATGTTTGGAACACTCGGACTTTATAGTACTCCACTATGAATAAAAATTTTGGTGGGAAGAAATCACAAGTGCGCAGATGCCACATGCCAATAGAACAAATATCTTGAAAGGGAAAAGTATCTTTTTTTTATTATATTCCACAATGAAAAAGCCATTTGCGTTACTGAGAGGTGCAAATTGGTCACGAATAAATTACTATT